GAAAATTCACAAATATCTGGAAACTAGACCATACACTCCTACAAAACCAATTGAAAAAGAAAATAAAGTTGAGGTAGTCACACTTAGGAATTTCAAAACTTATTACAAAGAAATAGTAATCAACGAAGTGTAGTGCTGGCAGGAGGACAGACCTATAGATAAGTGGAATAGAATTCAGAGTCTAGAAAGAAACCCATGTGTCTGTGGTCAACAAATTTTTGACAATGGTGCCAAGACCATTTGTGCTGGGACAACTGGATAGTCACATGTGAAAGAATGAATCTGGAACCTTACCTTACATCATATATAAAAATCAATTCAAAGTGGATCAAAGATTTAAGTGTAAGAGCCAAAACTGTAAAACTCAAAGAAGAAAACAGAGCTTCATGACATGGGATTTGGCAATGATTTTTTGGCCATGATACTAAAAGTATAGGCAGCAGAAGGTAAATTGGACTTCATCAAAATTAAAAACTTTAGGGAATTCCCTGGCTGTCCAGTGGTTAGGACTCTGAGCTTTCATTGAACCAAGCCCAGGTTCAATCTGTGGTTGGGGAACTAAGGTCCCAGAGTGCTGCAACTAAGTATTTTGGTACTATGACACAGCCAAAAAAAATTTTTTTAATTGTGCAGCCAAAGACACTATTGGGACTTCCATGGTGGTCTAATGGCTAAGACTCCATGCTCCCAATGCAGGAGGCCTGGGTTCAATCCCCGCTCAGGAAAATAGATCCCACAGGCCGAAAATAAAAGTTCGCATGCTGCAACTAAAGATCCCACATGCTACAACTAAGACCCAGTCAGCCAAAAAAAATAAGTACTTTAAAAAAAGAAGAAAGACACTGTGAACAGAGTGAAAAGGTGATGCACAGAATGGAGAAAATATTTGCAAACTATATGTCTGATAGGGGATTAATAGCCAAAATATATAAAGAACCCTTCAAGAACAAAAACTTTTATTAAATGGGAACATGACATGAATAGACATTTTTCCAAAGAAGATACACAGGCAGACAACAAGCACACAAGAGGATGCTCAGTTGTTAGGGAAATGCAACTCACTCCCGCAAAGAGATGCCCATCGGGTTGGCTATTACAAAAACCAACACTCAGAAAACAGCAACTGTTGAGGGGATGTAGAAAAATTGGAACACTTGTACATTGCAGGTAGGCTCGTAAAGTAGTGCAGCTGCTGTGAAAACAGTATGGTGGTCCCTCAAGAAAGGTAAATGTGTGAATTACTGTATGATTTAGCACTTCACCTTCTGGGAATATTCTCAAAAGAACTAAAAGGGGCGACTCAGATCTTTGTACACCTGTGTTTATAGCAGCATTATTCATAATAGCCAAACAGTGAATGTCCATCAATGAATGAGTGGATAAACAAAATATGGTGTGTATATATATTTATTCTTTTGTATATTTCCTTCCTTAAATTCTGACACACACTACCACATGGACAAACACAGATGTTATGCTAAGTGAAATAAGACAGACACAAAAGGACAAATATTGTATAATTCCCCTCATATTAGGCACCTAGAATAGTCAAATTCATAAAGACAGCAAATAGAGTGATGGTTTTCAGAGGCTGTGGGAAGGAGGAGTGGGGAGTTAGTGTTTGATGAGCACAGAGTTTTAGTTTAAGAAGATGAAAAGTTTTGGAGAGAGATGATGGTGATGGTTCCACAACAATGGGGATGTACTTCATGACACTGAAGTGGATAACTAAATACGGTTAAGATGGTAACTCTTATGTATATTTTACTACAATTAAAAAAATGGATCAAAGACTTAAATGTAAAAGCCAAGGAAATATAAGGGTAAATCTCCATGACCTCAAATTTGACAATATATTCTTAGATATGATTCCAAAAGCATAGCAACAAAAGACAAAAATAGGTTGTTAAACTTCACCAGAACCAAACATTTTGGACTTTCCCAGTGGTCCAGTGGTTAAGAATCCACCTGCTAGTGCAGGGGCCCGGGTTCAAGCCCTGGTCTGGGAAGATTGCACACGCCACAGGGCAATTGCCCTGCACCAGGACTGCAGATGCCCACGTGCCCTAGAGCCTGCGCTCCACAGAAAGAAAAGCCATGATGATGAGAAGCCCAGACACCGCAGCTAGAGAAGAGCCTGTGCGCAGCAGTGAAGAGCCAGCAGCTAAATAAATAAATACAACTGAAAAGGAGTGCTTCAAGGACACTATCAAGAAAATAAAAAGAGGTGTGGGATCCGGGGTGGCAGGGAGGCTCCAGAGGGAGATACGTATTTTTATAGCTGATTCATGTTGTACAGCAGACGCTAACACAACATTGTAAAGCAATTATACTCCAGTTAAGAAACAAGTTTTTAAAAATAAAATTTTTAAAAATTTTAAAGATTTTTTTACTCCAAGTCAAAAAAAAGAAAGAAAATGGAAAAATACCCCATAAGATAGGAGAAAAATCATATTTGCAAATCATATATGTCGGATATATGGACTTGTATGTAAAATATATAAAGAACGCTTACAACTTAATAATAAAAAGACAAGTGGTCCAGTTAAAAATGGGTAAAGAATCTGATAAGACATTTCCCCAAGAAAGTACACAGAGGGCCAATAAACACATAAAAAGGTGTGACATCATTAGTCATTAGGAAAATGCAAAATCTCACTCAAAGGGATGAATGAGGAGGGCAGGATAGCTATAATCAAAAGGTCAGCTAATAACAAGTGTTGACAAGGATGTAGAGAAACTGGAACCCTCGTATACTGGTGGTGGGAATGTAAAATGGTGAAGCCACCTTGGAAACCAGTTTAACAGTTCCAGTTAGTATACAACCCAGCCATTCCACTCACTGGAACACAGTGAACCCCTTGCATTCCATTTTTATGCAAGAAAAATGAAGATATATATCCCCAGAAAAACTTGTACACTAGCAGTCATAATAGCAATATACACAATAGTCAAAGAGCAGAAATAACCCAGGTTCATCCACTGATAAATGGATAATCAAATGAGTTTCATCCATATGATGAAACATCATTTGGCGATAAAAAGAAAGAACATGAAAACATGTTAAATGAAAGAAGCCAAACTCAAACGATCACATATTTTATGATTCCAATTACATGAAATATCCAGAATAGTTAAATCTATATAGAGAAAGTATATTTGTGGTTGCTTAGGGCTGGGGGGTGGAAGGTGGGAAGGGATTGGGGATTGATAGTTAAAGGACCTAGGGTTACTTCCATGGTGATGAAAATGTTAAAAAATTGACTGTTAGCATTCATACCTATGAATAGACACCACTGAATCGCACACTTTAAGAGTTAAGCTGTGATGGGAATTCCCTGGTGGTCCAGTGGTTAGGACTCAGTTCTGACACTGCTAAGGACCCTAGTTCAATCCCTGATCAGGGAACTAAGATCCCGAAAGCAGCATGGCCAAAAAGAAAGAAAGAAATTAAATTTTAAAAAGGTCAGTTGTGAGAAGAGAGTGCAATATGGTGAGGCAGTTGAGGGTGAAGGGAGAGTGTCTGAGAGCCTGGATGGAGAACACAGCGGGAGAGAGGGCTTCACGAGGGATAGAAGAACCCCGTCCTGAGCACAGCTTCTCAAGTTTTTCAGTATCAGTGGGGATAGCTGAGCTCTGGAGAGCACCTTACTCCAAGCTGCAAAACTATCTTCTGCCATAAAGATGGGAGGTTTGTGTTTCCTGGGATAAAGCCAATAAACTAACACAGGTGGGGACCCCAATTACCAGGTAAAGTTATTTATCTTGAGAACATGTGTTAACAGGTTGTGTCTGTTGGGCCCTAGCTTTAAAAGGGAGTGATACTGATGAATCTATTGGCAGGAAACAAACGTAGAGAACGGTCATGCAGACACAGGGAGAAGGAGACGGTAGGATGACCTGGGAAAGTAGCACTAACATTTATATACAATGTGTGCATGCGTGCTAAGTCATGTCAGTCATGTCCGACTCTTTGTGAGCCCATGGACTGTAGCCCGCCAGGCTCCTCTGATCATGAGATTCTCCAGGCAAGCACACTGGAGTGGGTTGCCATGACCTCCTCCAGTAGTTCTTCCTGACCCAGGGATCGAACCCATGTCTCTTATGTCTCCTGCATTGTCAGGCAGGTTCATTTCCCCAAGAAAGTACACAGAGGGCCTGTGTACTTTACTACTTTACTTTACTACTAGCGCCACCTGGGAAGCCCAACATATATACACTACCATGTGTAAAACAGCTAGTGGGAAGCTGCTATATAGCACAAGGAGCTCACCTTGGTGCTCAGTGATGACCTAGAGGGGTGAGTTGGGGGAAAGGGAGGGAGGCTCGACAGGGAGCGGGTATATGTATCCATATAGCTGATTCACTTTGTTGTACAGTAGAAACTAACGTAACATTGTAAAGTAATTATACTCCAATTAAATATTTTTAAAGCTAAAAATAAAAAGGTAATAAAATGAAAAAAGAAAGTAAGCCCATACAAAATCAGGATGACAAGTTAATAAATTATAACTACAAAAAAAAGAGGGGGGGAGTAAGATTCTTTTCTGTCTTCATGGTCCCACTAGTTTGCCTGTGATGCATCACACGCTGCTTTAATGTTTATCCAATAAGAAAAGGATTTTCTTCCTGTACTACCTTTGTGGAGGGCAATTCTAGATTGGAAAAATGTTGTTTTTTGACAGTGCTCAAGTTTGCACCTGCTCTAGGGTGGGATGTGCCCCACTCCCCGCTCAAGCTGATCTGAGACACTATTTTCTGCACTCAGGTTTCTCTTCCTTCACCGGCACGAGTCTGAGGACCACTCTGCATGCCAAGTCACTTCAGTCGTGTCCGACCCTTTGCAACCCTATGGACCACTTTCCTCTGGCTACAACTTCCCTCCACCTGCAGGCTTGGGCCACCTCCCAGCACCGCGGCCCTTAGGCAACCTGTCCCTTTAAGAGCTCCCCCTGCCCCGCCTCCAGCTCCTCCCTCAGACCCAGGGGCGGGACTTCCCTTTAAAGCCTGGGCTCCATCTTTCTGACTAGCTGTGTACTGAGGCTGTTCCGGAGCCTTGAGGGGCCCCTGGGTGCCAGGCAGAGGCACAAGTGGGCTGTGACAGGTGCCTGTGGGACATGGAACCACTGCTAGGGGCTCAGGGCTTGGGGGTGGGCGGGGTGGTGACGGGGAAGGGACAAGATACTGGGACAGGGTGGATCCTGGACAGAGCAGAGCCTCTCGGGAGTAGACCAGACCTGTCATCAGTTAAGTAACTGCTCTGTGCCAGGTGCTCTGCCGTGCCCTCTGTGCTCCTTCTCAGGGGTATCATTATTCCCATTTTTCAGATGGGGCAAGGGTACGGAGCTCAAAGCAGCTGACTGAGTGCCCCAGGGCCAGACAGCTAACCGGGGGCAGAGCCAGGATCTGAACTCAGGTCAGTGTGACCCCAAAGCCTTGCCGTTGTCTCCGCCACATCACACAGGTGACAGGGGTCCAGGCTTCTTCCCCAGCTTCCTTTGAACTTGATTTTCCTGTTCTCGGCAGAGTGAGGGGAGAAAATGGGTTTCCGCTCCTCCCTGCAGTACCAGTACTTGGAGGCCTTCCTCCTTCCAGGAGCTGCTTGGAGATGCTGCTGCTGCTGCTGTCCCTGTTGCTGCTGCTGCCACTGGCCGTACTCCTGTGGCGGCCGCGGTCCTGGGATGCCAGGCAGTCCTGGCTTGTCCGCCTCCAGCACCGTGTGGCGTGGGGGGCCCTGCGCTGGGCAGCCGCCTGGCAGCAGAAGAGACTAGCGCAGAGCACGTTGCACGCGGGCCAGAGCCAGCAACAGGCCCTGAGGCGGTGTCTGCATGGAGCCCAGGGTCCCCGTTGTACCCTCAGAGGGAGCACAGGTGTGTTTCCCAGGGTCTGGGGACGTGGCCCAAAGAGAGGGAAACCCCACAGGAGAGTCAGATTCCAGAACCCAAAGACCACCCTTCCCCATTCTACCACCAGCACAGAGAGAGGTCTGACCCAGAGAACCTACCCAGGCCGGATTGTTCAAGATGAATTTTGCCATCCTGGCCCCTGATAGCCTCTCTCCCCTCAGGCCTGTTCTGGATTCCTTCCTTGAGGGTCTCACCAGTCTGGCCTGAACCCTTGGGAAACTCTGTGGCTTCATGGGGATTTTATGATGTTTTGGGGGCTACAGATATAAGCACCTTCCGGAATCATCTCCCTCTGACCAAGGCCAGCCAGGCCCAGGAGGAAGAAAGTGGGGGGCAGCCCTTGCCCCCCACCTCAAACTGGTACCATGGAGAGGCCTCTCTGCAGGTAAACGGGGAATGCTGGAACCCAACCCCATCAGAGGTCCCTAAGTGCAGCCAAAGCCTCCCATCAGGATGGGAAAAAAGTAAACAGCAACAAAAACCTCAAAACAAAACTGGGGGACTTCTGTGATGGTCCAGTGGTTAAGACTCCCCGCTTTCAGTGCAGAGGGTATGGGTTCGATCCCTGGTCTCCCCTGGCCTTGGCATGCCCTGGGCCAGATGAGCCCCACTGGAGCCAAGGACCCAAGGATCCTGCTGCTGGAGGCATTGAGGTCCCCAGGGCTTCGGGCTCTGGAAGCTGGGACAGCCACAGAGCTCCTAGATGTCTTCTTGGACCTGGAGGCCCACGGGGAAGAGCTGGCTGAGGCCATCGCTGCTGGGAACCCAGGAGCACCTCTCCCCAGACGGGCAGCTGAGCTGCGGGAGGCCCTGGAGCAGGGAACCCGAGGACTGGCCCTTCGGCTCTGGCCAAAACTGCAGGTGGTGGTGACTCTGGACGCAGGAGGCCAGGCTGAGGCTGTGGCCGCCCTGGGGGCCTTGTGGTGCCAAGGGCTCACCTTCTTCTCACCCGCTTACGCTGCTTCTGGAGGTCAGCAAGACTCAAGGGTGGTGAGGGGCACACAGCTAGCTGCCAAGTTGTCGTTCAGTTGCTAATTTGTGTTTGACTTTTTGCGACCCATGAACTGCAGCAAGCCCTATATAGTCATCTCATTGATTCCTCCCCAACACCAGCAGCTCCATTTTACAGATGAAATAACTGAGGCTCAGAGAGGTTAAGAGACTTACATAGATTTAAACCACACCAACATTTTCTCCAGGTCCATCACCTCCAGAACCACTGCCTCTTCCCAATTAGGGCCTTAGAAGCAGAGGGCTGAGCCTGGGGGAGCCGGGAAGGATGGAGTGGAGGGGCAGCAGGGGGATCAGATGCTCAGGGGGTTGGAGCCTGGCCAATTGCCTAGCAGATGAAGAGGCTGCTTGCTCCCCACAGGGGTGTTGGGCCTGAGTCTGTGGCCAGAGCAGCCCCATGGCCTGTACCTTCTGCCCCCTGGAGCCCCCTTTATTGAGCTGCTCCCACTCAAGGAAGGAACTCGGGAAGAGGCTACCCCCACTGTCCTGCTGCCTGAGGCCCAGAAGGGCAAGGAGTATGAGCTGGTGTTGACCAACCATGCCAGCCTCACCAGGTAACCATCTGCCCACCCACCTCTCCCCATCCGCCACCTCAGTCCTCCTGAGGTGAACCCAGTTGAAGGCCACGGGCATGCTGTTCAAGTTAATGGGCCCTTGGGCCTGACCTCGTCCCCACTTCCTCTCCATCAGGTGCCGGCTCGGTGATGTGGTACAGGTAGTGAGTGTCTACAATCAGTGTCCAGTCGTCAAATTCATCTGCAGGTAAGTGACCCCCCGGGTCACTGAGGGACCATGCCTGTGCCCTGGGTTCCTCTGCCTCCTGCTTCCTTCTCCCCAGGCTGGGTCAGACCCTGAGTGTTCGAGGCGAAGACACTGGTGAGGATGTGTTCTCTGAGGCCCTGGGCCGGGCCGTGGGGCAGTGGCCAGGGGCCAAGCTGTTGGACCATGGCTGGGTGGAGAGTAGGATTCTGGGTAAGCTTTTCCACTGGCTGACTATCTGTCACCCGTACCCATCCCGCTGGGAGACTTCTAGGAAGGAGGAAAGACCCAGCCTTTTCTGCTGATCCTAACAAAAGTCCTTCCGCATATCTAACCCCCATCCGTCCTGCTGCAGTCTCTACCCATTTCCTCTCCATTTATGCCACTCCTTGCCAAGAAACTCCTTCTCTCCCCTGTGAACCTCGGAGTAGGGGCAGCGGGCTTGGGCTTTTGAAGATGCCCCATTCACAAAACATGTGTCCGTAATGGGCGATTTGTCCACAGATTCCTCTGAGGGCTCCGCTCCCCACTATGAGGTATTTGTGGCACTGAAGGGGCTGAGGAACTTGTCAGAGGAAAATCGAGACAAGGTAAATGGGAGACAGGGACAGGACACGACTGAATGCCCCCCTCACTCTGCACACTGCCCCATGTGTGGTGGGGAGGTGGAGGACAGGAGGAGACCCTCCCTGGAGCTCTGGGAAGGGAGGGTTGAGCCCCACAGACACACATGTACACACGTAAAACTTCTAGCCACGCACACCCTGGGCACAGCCGTGCGCGCCTCACCCACACGCCGCCCAGCCTCACACCAGCCTCACTTGAGCCGTTCTGTTCCCAGCTTGACCACTGCCTTCAGGAAACCTCCACTCGCTACAAGTACCTGCGGTTCCGGGGCAGCATGGGCCCTGCCCAAGTCCACCTGGTGGGGCAGGGGGCCTTCGGGGAACTGCGGGCAGCCCTCGCTGCCTGCCCCTCGGCCCCTTTCCCTCCTGAGATGCCCCGGGTCCTCAGGCACAGGCCCCTGGCCCAGTGCCTGCAGAGGAGGGTGGTGTCCTGAGCTGAGGCCTGCCCCCGGCCCCGTTCACCCCCATGGGCTGCCTCGCTCTTTCCTCTGGGGCCCCTCTGGATGTGGAGCCCTTGGCCAGGGTCTTCATGTGTCAGCTGCCAGCTGCCCATGAGAGCTGCTGCCCTTAGGGTTGCCTGAGCTAGTCCATCAGTTCCGAGGAGTTGACTTCAAGGACAAAGCAGACACCAGCAGCGCGCCACCCGGAGCTCCCAGCCCACCCTAGAGGGCACAGGAGTTCCAATCCCCGCTGGTAATGCCTGTGCACCAGGCAGACTGGAAGTGTTGGAAGTTCAGGCTCCCAGGAGTGACCCCCAATTGGCATGGAGCAGGGGCTGGTGACCGCAGACCTCAGCTTTGTCGTCCCTCAGTAGAACAGCTCTGAAATGTATTCTATAAGCATCTCCCTCCAAGGGTCTCCACTAATTGCCCGCAGTGGTAACTTTCTCATTAACACGGTTCTTACTGGTTTTCCTCCTGTCTCTCCTGTCCCTCCTCCCACGTGCTTTCTAGGGTCACCTGCCAAATAAACTTCTTACACCCAGAATCTTGGCTCGGGGTCTGCTTTTGGGGAAACCGGGGGCCGCATTCACTCTGCTTCTGCTGCAGCCTGGATTGCCCTCTTGGCTTCAGTTCTGGACACCAGGGCTTTCCCTGCGACTTCTGCTCCAAGCTGGGGCAGGCCCTGAGTGTGTGCCCTCGGAGACCTGGGGGACCCCTACCACAACCTAGGTCAACCTAGGAGACACCGCATCCCCTCCCTTGACCTCTCCCCATCCCAAACTTTCCCTAAGTGCAGAGGGGCTGCTCCCCATCTCCCCTTGCCCAGGCTTAGCACAAGTCCCCCTTTCTGGCCCCAAACCCACGGATCACTTCCATGGGCAGGACTTATACTGCAAATCATAAAGAATCACAGCAGGAAGCAGCCCCAGAAACCATCTGGGTTGACTGTCCATCCTACCACAGGGGAAACAGGCTGGCCTTCAGTTTCAGCAGGGTTGTGAGTCTTGTCCAAACCTCGCAGCGCCTCCTAAATAATGCAGCACCTAATCCCAACCAGCTGCCAAGCCTCAGATTTTTTGTTCATTTGTTTGTTTTAATATTTATTTATTTATTTGTCTGGGCCGGGTCTTAGTTGCAGCATATGGGGTCTAGTTCCCCGAGCAGGGACTGAACCCGGGGCCCCCTGCATTAGGAGCGCCCTGTTTAGTCACTGGACCACCAGGGAAGTCCAAGCCTCAGATTCTGACTCTGAATTACTACTTCTGAATCAGTTCAGTTTGGTCACTCAGTTGTGTCCAACTCTTTGCAACCCCATGGAATGCAGCATACCAGGCTTCCGTGTCCATCGCCAACTCCTGGAACTTGCTCAAACTCATGTCTGTCGAGTCGGTGATGCCATCCAACCATCTCATCTTCTGTCTTCCCCTTCTCCTGTCTTTAATCTTTCCCAGCATCAGGGTATTTTCCAGTGAGTCAGTTCTTCACATCAGATGGCCAAAGTATTGGAGTCTCAGCTTCAGCATCAGTCCTTCCAATGAATATTCAGGACTGATCTCCTTCAGGATGGACTGGTTGAATCTCCTTGCAGTCCAAGGGACTCTCAAGAGTCTTCTCCAACACTCAATTCAAAAGCATCAATTCTTTGGTGCTCAGCTTTCTTTATAGTCCCTCACATCCATACATGACTATTGGGAAAACCATAGCTTTGACTAGACGGGCCTTCATTGGCAAAGTAATGTCTCTGCTTTTTAATATGCTGTCAGGTTTGTCATAGCTTTTCTTCCAAGGAGCAAGCATCTTTTAATTTCATGGCTGCAGTCACCATCTGTAGTGATTTTGGAGCCCAAGAAAATAAAGTCTGTCACTGTTTCCACTGTTTCCCCATCTATTTGCCATGAAGTGATGGGACTGGATGCCATGATATTAGTTTTTTGAATGTTGAGTTTTAAGCCAGCTTTTTCACTCTCCTCTTTCACTTTCAAGAGGCTCATTAGTTCCTCTTTGCTTTCTGCCATAAGGGTGGTGTCATCTGCATATCTGGGATTATTAATATTTCTCCCGACAATCTTGATTCCAGCTTGTACTTCATCTAGCCTGGCATTTTGCATGATGTACTCTGCATAGAAGTTAAATAAGCAGAGTGACAATATACAGCCTCCACGTACTCTTTCCTAATTTGGAACTAGTCTGTTGTTCCATGTCCAGTTCTCTAACTGTTGCTTCTTGACCTGCATACACATTTCTCAGGAGGCAGGTAAGGTGGTCTGGTATTCTCATCTCTTTAAGAATTTTCCACTTCTGGATTCCACAGCCCAAATCCAGGCCCCTACCCCCACCTGCCTGGCCCCCACCTCAGCCCATGACTCCTTACTAAAGCTAAAATCCTACCATAGCCCCCCAGCACCTGTGGGATCAAGACTAATCATCTTAGCTGATAAGACCCTTTGACCCACTCTGACCTCACTTACCTGTCCAGCCACCTCTCTCTTCTAAGAGAAGTTGTGATCGGTGGACCACACCCTGCTTCCTGCATGAGTTAAGCACGGTCACCTCTAGGTCTCTGCTCAGGCTGCCCCTTCTGGGGAAAGCCTTCTCTCCCAAGCTTACTCGATGGAAACCGACTTTTCACGCAAGGCTTTTGCAGAGTCCTCTCTCCATTGAGTTATACTTTTGCTGGGTCACCTCCCAGAAAAACTGGGCCAGGGCTTCCCTGGTGGTCCAGTGATTAAGACCCTGTCTGCCAATGCAGGGGACATGGGTTCAATCCCTGGTGCAGGAAGATTTCACATGCAGCAGAGCAACTAAGCCCATGAACCACCACTATTGAGCCTACAAGTTGCAGCTACTGAAACCCACAGGCTTAGAGCCCATGCTCTGCAACAAGAGAAGTCACCAAAATGAGAAGCCCAAGCACCGCAATGAAGAGACAGAGAGTAGCCCACCGCCCAGCACTCAACTACAGAAAGCCCATGCGCAGCAATGAAGACCCAGTGCAGCATATGCGTGCTTAGTCACTGAGTCTGACTCTTTGTGACCCCATGGACTATAGTCCACCAGGCTCCTCTGGCCATGGAATTTTCCAGGCAAGAATACTGGAGTGGGCTGTTGCCACTTCCTACTCCAGGGGATGTTCCCGACCCAGGGATCCAACCCGTGTCTCCTGCATTGGCAGGCAGATTCTTTGCCACAGTGCCACCTGGGAAGCCCCAATGCAGCCAATAAATAAATAATAATAATAAATTATGTTTTTTTAAAAAAGAAAACCAGGGCGTGTCTTATGTACACTGTCGCTCCAGCGCCCAGAGCAGAGCCTGGCACGGAACCGGTGCTCAGTAGACAGTGCCCTAGATAAGAGAAACTCCAGCCTAGAGATGGCACATGTCCTTCTCCCCACGGTGGCTCTCCTCCTGCCAATGGTGTGATGGGACTCCATCCATCCCATTGAGGCAGTCCAACCAGGTAGGAAGCTGGGGAGATGGAAGGATAACATCAGTTTTGGCTGGTGTCTTCCCACTGCCCAGGAGTGGCTTTTCAAGGTTCTCCATCTTGGAGGTTGGTGGAAGGGGCAGAAGGAAGAAGAGCCAGAGGGGAGGGAAAGTCAGCTAAAACACCTTTCCCACAGAGGAAGAAGGTCCTGAAGCTTCAAGGCCCCAGGGGTAGAGACAGGAGCAGCGGGGAGAGGCTGTTGCCTGGCTGCCCTCCCCCAGACACACACATCCTACGGAGAGTGCGTCTCACCACTGCTTCCTTTCCTGCCCTTAATTAGCAGCTCCCCCTATGCATTGTCCCACGCCAGCCCCCAGGCAAGACCTCTTTTGTGCTCCCAGATTCCTAGGAACAAGGTGGCCTCATTAGTGCCTGGAGACCACCCCATCTCCATGGAGCAGGCAGACAGACAAGGCGGGGGACCAGGGGCACAGAGATACAACTCAAGACTCTGATCGCCTTGGCGGTCATTCCTGGGGCCCAGCCTGGAGACGGCACTCCTGCGGAAGGCTAATCTTAGATTTGCCTTTGTCTGTTCCCGGAGTAGATGCAAGCACCCATCTCTCCCCCCCTTCCCGCCTACCTCCTCTGAGCACTATAAACCCCAGGCTCCTGCTAGTGGGTTGCAGTTGACAGCCTCAAAGTTCCTGGCTATTCGGACCACTGCAGATGACACCTTTCCCGGCTACCCCACTCTGAGCTCCAGACACCATGAATCCTTCCTCTACAAAGGTAAAGACCCAGGGATGAAGGGGTGACTTGGGGGCAATGAGACCGGAGACAGTGAGAATGCTTGCTCAGGGAGCTAGAAGGAAGGTTGAAAGTGTCTTTTCCTATATGGGTTCTGAGGCAAGGTACAGGGTGGACCCTTGACAGAGAATCTGCCTTAGCTAACACTGGACTGTGCCCTGTTCTCCTAAGAGTTCACGTTTATTGAGCTTTTACTATGTATCAGGTGCAACTTGCACCTGTCATCTTAGCTCATCCTCCCAGCAGCCCTGCACAGTAGAAATTACTTAATACCCAGTTTACAGGTGAGGACGTTGTGCCCCATGAAACGGTAGGAAACGGGTCCAAACCCACAGAATCGTTTCCCCTGCAAGGAAGCAGGCAGTCAAAACAACAATCTGGATCCTGCCAGTCCTTGATTTTCCCATGCCTGCCCTCTGTGGGGAGGAGGAGCGGATAAATGAGGCTTCTGTTTCCCTGAGCAAAGTCTCCATAAACTTCTGGGGCAGATTCAGACATGCCTGTTTCAAATGGAGTGGTCAGCGCTCTAATGAGGGTACAAGGGACCAAGGGCACCCAGAGGAGAGAGAGATTCATTCTGCCCAGGGGGGTTCAAAGAGCTTACTGGAGGAGATGCTCTGCTGGGTCTTAAGGTCAGTCAGTCAGTTCAATCGCTCAGTCGTGTCAGACAGCTTTGAGCCTAGGCAGGAAGTCCAGGCGACAGCGAGTGAGAAGCGCCGGCCACGAGGGGGCGCGGAGCCAGCTGGGCAGGACCCGGACGTAGGGGCTGGAATGCGGGCGACCCTCAGCGCCCGGTCTCCGCCTTCCTTAGGTCTCCTGGGCCACCGTGACGCTGCTGCTCCTGCTACTGTTGCTGCCGCCCGCGCTGCTGTCACCCGGGGCGGCCGCGCAGCCCTTGCCCGACTGCTGCCGTCAGAAGACGTGCTCCTGCCGCCTCTACGAGCTGCTGCACGGCGCCGGCAATCACGCGGCCGGCATCCTCACGCTGGGCAAGCGGCGGCCCGGGCCCCCGGGCCTCCAGGGCCGGCTGCAGCGCCTCCTGCAGGCCAGCGGCAACCACGCGGCCGGCATCCTGACCATGGGCCGCCGCGCAGGCGCAGAGCCACCGCTGCGCCCCTGCTCCGGCCGCCGGTGTCCCTCTGAGGCCGCCTCGTCCGTGGGACCTGGGGGACGGTCCGGGGTCTGAGCTCTCGCTCGGGTCCAGTCCTGACCCTACCCTGGCCCCTCCCTCACCCCCGCAGGGGAAAAAATAAAGAAGTGTCAGCTCGCAGGAAAAAGGGGAATAAAGTCTCCCTCTGTTAGTGTGGCTGCTGTCTGTGCCTGTGCGGTCGCGTCCCGCCCTCCAGGGGGCGTGAGAGTCTTTCGAACCGTAAAGAGCCGGACAACCTGGAGTTCGGTTTGAGAGTCTTTTTATTTTATTTTAATTTTTATTAGTTGGAGGCTAATTACTTTACAGTATTGTAGTGGTTTTTGTCATACATTGACATGGATCAGCCATGGATTTACATGTATTCCCCATCCCGATCCCCCCTCCCACCTCCCTCTCCACCCGATCCCTCTGGGTCTTCCCAGTGCACCAGGCCCGAGCACTTGTCTCATGCATCCAACATGGGCTGGTGATCTGTTTCACCCTAGATAATATACATGTTTCGATGGTGTTCTGGTTTGAGAGTCTGAACTACTCTCGGGTGGGCGCTCTTAGGGCAAGAAACTGCAAGACCCTGGAGTACGGAGAGAACCGCATATGTGAGTGCTAGGAGGGGAGAGTGGGGGCAGACACGGTGCTCGGTGCTCCGCCAGTCATTCTGAATCGCCAGGCCCTTCCTGAGAGTCGCGGAGGAAAGTGAGAGCAGAGGAGCGAGACGCGGCTGGGAAGGAGGGAGCCGCGCCCGCCGAAGAGGCAGGGAATATGAGGTTCAACAGGAATCTTCCGGAGGCCTGCAGTGTGGGATAGGGCGTTTGGGGTGCTGGTGAGGCACTGAAGGGGAGGCGGTTAGGCTTGTGCAGCCCAGATTGTGAAAGCCCTCACAGATCATCAGGCTTTGCACTTGATTCTGTAGGTAGCTGAGAGTCAGAAGTTCTTAAGCAGGGATGAGGCAAGATTTTTCCAGCAATTTAAATGGAACACACCTGTGACAAGTTGAATTGTGCAACCCCTCCCCCCTTCTCATTTACATTTGAAGTCGTAACCCCCAGCACTTCAGAACATGGCCTTATTTGGAAATAAGAGTCTTTGAGGATGAAATTAGTTAAAATTCAGTCATACTGGGGGAAAAAAAATTCTATCATATGGGAGTAGGGTGAGCCTCTAATCCAATATGACGTGTCCTTATATAAAGGGATTTGGACACAAATGCACACAAGGAGAATCCATGTGAACATGAAGGCAGAGATGGGTGATGCATCTACAAGCCAAAAAGTGCCAATAAGCCACCAGAAGCTAGAAAACAGGCATGCAATAAATATTCCCCCACAGCCTTCAAAAGGAGCCAACCCTGCAATCATTTTGGTCTTAGACTTTCAGCCTCCAGAACGAAAACAACAGATTTCTGTTGTTTAAGTCACCCAGCTTGTGGTACTTTGTTAAAGCAGCCCTAAGAGAGTGACTGATTTGAACTGATATAAGAACTCTATATTATATTTATAACCTCCTTGTTAATATAAGCCTGTTATTAAATATAAGGTTTATTAAAATATAAATAAAATAAAATATAAGGTTTATTCCCAAAACAAAAATAAATAAATAAATAAAGCAGCCCTAAGAAACTAAAACCCAAAAGTAGAGATACAGAAAGATGTGGCATTTTAGCATATAATGTCCCAGATAACGCCCAGCTCAGACTTGGGGTGAGGATGAGGAGCACTGGCCTGCCTTCTCTCCAGCCCATCTTCCCTTTGTCACTGGCTTTAGCTGTCCCCCCGCCCCCACCCCAGGAAGCAGCCACCCTAAGCCACCACACTCAGATGCCACAGTAATTTTCTGCTTCCATGGTGAAAAAAGTCCTGTGTCTGGTCTTACCTGGGTCCTTCTTGCTGCACTGGTTTCGTTTGGGGGAAGATGGAAAACAAAGTCCACCGGTGCACTTTGGGGATTTACAAACTGACTGCTCACCTTGAAACCATCTTTCTCAGCCCCAAATTTACCTCCAACCTCTCTTCCACTTGAATGGTTGCAAAGAGAAGGAGGGTTAAATCAGAATGATAGGAAGAGGGGGTGAATAAGGAGACAATTGCTCTCCAACACACTGTGTGCCAACGATATGCATTATGCTATTAAATTCACACAACCATACGAGGTAAAAATCATTAGCTCCATTTGACAGGTGAAGAAAGTGATGCTGCTGGAGGCTGAGTCACACAATTAGTAAGCGACAGAGCTAGGATTTCTACCCAGTGGACTCCAGAGCTCTTTTCATCCATCCTGCTGAGGTTAGAGGCAGAGATCGCCAGGGTGCCCTATGCAAACTAAGACACAGGTGACGGTTAAGTATTCTAGCATTTGCGTTTCCTGCCCTCTCATCGATCCTCCACCGGCAAAACTAACCTCTTTAACTCTGCTGTCTCATACTGGAGCGCAGGAAGCTGAGATTGCTGCGAGATATCCCAACTCCAGCAGGCGGCACTGTGAACCAGACACGAGTCCCAGCGTGGGCGGCTAGCGGGGGAACCCGAGGGGAGGAGACACAAGGAGCCGCCAGGGAAACACGCGTGGGGGCGTGGCCACCCTGGAAGATGGGCGTGTCTATCATTCAAGCCCCGCCCCATCCCTTGGCGCTTCGGCCTCGGGTGGGCGTGTCCCAAATTCTCTGCGGGAGAGACACGCGTGGGCCGCTCCCCACCCGGAGGAGGGCAGCGGAGCGGAGTGAGGGTGTCGCTGGCGGCCCCTCCCCGTGCGGGGCCACGTGGCGGGCTCCGGGCGAGCCCTAGGGAAAGAACCTGGCCCGTGGGGAGGTGGGGGGACCGAGGCGGCGCCGAGACAAGCGGAAAGCTACTGGGTTTGGAACAGAGAGGCGGCGGCGGCGGCGGCGCCGAGAGGGAGGGGAAGAGGCAGGCGGGCGCATGGGGCGCCCCGGCCCCGCCGGCAGCGCGCCCCCTCCGGCCCGGCCGCGCTGAAGCCCCCAGCGCTGCGCCTGGAATCTGCGCCCCGAGGCCATGCCGGTCATGAAGGGGTTGCTGGCCCCGCAGAACACCTTCCTGGACACCATCGCCACCCGCTTCGACGGCACGCGTGAGTGGGGTGGAGGCTGGAGTTGAGGGTTCGAGCTAGAGGTCAAGTCTCCTTTGGCCCTCGCGTGGGTCTCCTGGATGTGATGAGAAAGACCCAAGGCGAGGAGAATGGGCTAGGAGGGTCTAGGAACTCCCAGAGCCCCAGTAAAGGAACAGGACTGGGAGCGCCCTGGGAGGGGAGACGGGGAGAGGACCAAGAGTTCGGGCAGCCAAGGTTGGGGGTGTGTGACTGGAGGCAGGAAAGGTTCTTTGTGCGGCAAAGCGGAGGAGTCCTTGAGAGCCGCCCACTCTCGGGCAGGGCTCTGCTGGGGGCGTGTACGGGAGTATCCAAGACGCAGAGGTGGGACGAAGTGGCCAGGTGCTTTGGGGTCTGCTCTCCAACCACTGCAGCATCTCCTTCCCCCAGAAAAAAGAGAGAGAGAGAGAGACATAGAAAAGGTCAGACTTTTGCAGGACCTAGCTTGGATTAAGGTCACGCACCCCCAAATTATAGCGCGTCCCTGTCTGGGGGCGGCATGGCAGGAAGGCAGGGGGTGGTCTGTGTAACGGAGAACTGCCTGCCCTCCAACCGAGCTTGAGTTCCAGGTTCAGCACCTTGGACAGCTACCATCCTGCTTCCCCTCCTCTTCTCCCGCCATTCCCTTTTCCTACTTTGGAACTGAACGATCTCCCCTTGCCCGGTTAGGATACCCAGGCTGAGATCTGGAAGGTGGGGGGAGCGGTACCTGAGGGCGGAAACCTAGCCGCCGGAGCCCTACCCGCCTCCCCACCCTGCCCCCACACACACCTCCCTTGTTTCCATAGTGCCTATCACCCGGGCAACGGACCTGGGATGGAAGAAGGAGGCTGCTTGCCCAGGGCCCAGCACCTCCCAGGCACCTTCAGTATCCCCATCAGCCGCTCCATCCCCAGACATTCACCCCTCCCAGCACCCAGGTCTGGTTTCTTCTCAGATCCCTTCCTTCAGCTGAGACTGTCCCTGGATGGCCTACCGAGCCCCCCTGAGGCCTCCCACCCAGTGGAACTGGAGGGGAGCCAGCTCAGGTTCTGTTGCTGGGTTTGCTGGAGCCACAACTTCATTGCTCAAGCCTGTCAAACCCTGAGAACTGGGACAGACCCCCTGATCTTAGCTAAGGGATGCTAAAAAGAGGACTTTTCCTGGAAGGCAGGGAATGAGGATGCTACTCATCAGTCTTCCTCCCTCCACAAAGGAGACTGGATAATAAACTCTGTGAGTTTGGATAACCTCTGCTTTTTGGTTTCCTATCAATAAAATGGGTGTGATAATGCCAGAATCTGCCTTATCCAGGATAGCTTGTGCTTTGAAAGCTGGGCAAATGTGGGGCATCATTTCACCTTCTCAGTGTAACATTCACTATGTGCCAGGATTTGCTCTTCCCAGGTAACCCATATAACTCACACCAAAACTTTTGAGGAAGATATATAATCCCTCACTTTTCAGATAAGGAAGCTGAGGCACAGGGGAGTTCATTAACTTGCTCAAAGTTACACAGTCAGCAAGTGGCAGAGATGGGGTGCTGGAGCCCATGCCCTTATTCACCATGCTGTGCTGCCGCCTAAAGTAATAGCTCATCAGCTTCAAGGCAGAAGTCATGGCCTCTTGGAGTTCCGTTTCCAACCCCCTAGACTACCCTGTCCCAGTTCCAGGCCACCCTTAAGTCCTTGTCCTTTTGCTCTATCTCTTCTTACTCTCATTTCAGGACATCCCAAAGGGGATCCAGGAATCCCACGGAAACCTGGGAAGCTCCTGTCTCTAGGATCTCTGACCTCAGCTTGGGGGAGGTATGGCTCACCTGGAAACTGAGCTCCCCTCCTGGCCTTGGCCTGACCTTAACCCCTTCTTCCCACAGACAGCAACTTCCTGCTAGCTAACGCACAGGGCCCACGGGGCTTTCCCATTGTCTACTGTTCCGACGGCTTCTGCGAGCTCACAGGCTACGGCCGCACCGAGGTCATGCAGAAAACCTGCAGCTGCCGCTTCCTCTAT